GTAGAATTACAATGCCCCATGTTCTATTCTGCTTCTAGCCAGCCAGGTGGTCGGTGGCTTCGTCCTTTGTGAAGGCTTGCCTTTTCCGTGCCAAGCTCAGTTCAGTTGGGTTTTCTGAGTCTGGGAGTCAGGGAGTGAGGAGGTCAATCTACGGTAATAGCAACGCAAGGGACTGAAATCTAATCTGCCAATGTATCAACATGTATTTCCGTGTGTGTGTGTGTCTGTATTCGCTTGTTTACACTTTATTTCATCAAATACTGTACCCTATGCTTGTGAGGATACAGTTTGTTCCAAGTAGAATATACATCTCACAAATGAATCTCTCTAAATAAATGTATATCTCTCTCTATATATATATATATATTAACAAATATGTTTAGATGATATATAGCATGGTATATTGCATGGTATATAGCATGGTATGATAAACACATGTTTGACTTCATTTGATTTGATTTGAACATGATTTGAATAATATCCAATATCTGATTTCAGATCATTATATATATATATATGACTATGAAACCAATGAGGGTTTATAGACGATCTGTCCTCTAACATCATGGTGCAGCTGCTTGGGTCCCCCATGAAAAGCCATATCAATGATGTACCGTGCATAGGAGATCGATGTCCGATCCTCCACTACGAGAGATGGGCCCAAAGGGCGCAGTCGGGACCCTGGGGAAAGGCGCTCGGATGGTTAGAGCAACCCGTTGTGGAAAAAGATGCAGAAAGTTGTGGAGATTCATTTCATTTGGTAATTTAGCCAATGAAAATGCCATGAGTATAGTATAACTTACCACTAATTACCAACTGTTAATTCGTGATCCTCCATTGTGGTAAGAAGTAGTGGTAAATTACTCTTCTAACTGGATGGGTAACGATCCAACAATTCACCATGGTGATTTTACCAACATATCCGAAATAATGGGATGTACCAATCGACACTAGCAGAAACCAACTGGACCCATGGTTTGGTACAACTAAATTTCTTGCTAGTTTGATGGGACTTGTTGAACAACCCATGAAAGATTTTTTGGGGATGGTCAGAATCTAAGATTGGCCATGAGAAGGTTGGCAAGGCAAACAAAGGCCCTGTGCATGTTCTGGGCAAGTGAGGAGTGGACATGATGGTCTAGTTCGTTAAAGAGCATTTTTTGAGGATAGCTAAGATCAGCCAAGGGATGCTTGGCTGAGTTTATGCTAAACAAGATTTTTGTTCTTATCCACTTGCAAGGCTGGTGCCATAAGAAGCATGTGTATTAGTACGGGACTTGGTACTAGCTGCCTGAAAATTCCAACTCCTTCCTTTCTAGGTCAAGACCCTTAGATATTTGCATGATGGTTTTGTATGTATTTGTTGACTGCAGAGGAAAAAACCTAGCTGGTATCTAACCATGTGCCAATTAAGTGAAAGGCAAAGGATTACGTTTCTGTGACACGTTTAAGAATTTAATGGGGTGCTGCACCATCACACTCAAGGTTCACTATCTAAGGGACACTGGAAAAAATATGGTTTTTGATGAGAGTTATCCATGGTTTTGATCTGTTTTAACCTTCAGTGCAGTGTCCTTCAAGATTCAGCTGCAAACCGTTTTCTTTGGTGCCCCCCATTGCAGAAATTTCATGAAATTTCCAGGAAGTGCTGTGGAGAGAGCATCCAAATTGGCGTTGAATCGGGTGGCACATACCATATCATAATACATTATGCAATAATATTTACATATGGACACAACAACTTGAAACTCCTGGATTCGTTGAAGATGTAATAGATGTACCAGAAAAGAGGATGCTTGTAGGAAGTGAGGTGTTGATCAACCTGGTGGATCTCCGCAAGCAATCCGCTGATCGCCGTGCTATTTATGGCCCAGTTGTTCTTTGATCATATAGGACAGGTGTTTATGACAAGAGAAAAGGTGGGTAGACGTTGGCATGTTTTTTATTTTGTAATGTTCTGAGGTTCACATTACAAAGTGGTTTCCCTCAGTTATACGTTGGTCTATAATTTAGAATCCCATGAACTAACAGTGATATGATTTGGAAACTAACTTTGCTAGCCAGTTTGTACTTACTCGAAGGTTGCTAGCTGCTAACTTCTCAATTGTGAATATGGCGCAAAACCACCCGTTTATGGGCGGTCCCTTTGAAGGAACGGCTTGTGCGCCCCCAAAGAACACAAGAAATGCCTTCGCATTGAATGCCATTTGACTACGAGCTAATGTATCTAATGTGAACATCGTGAATCCATATCAAGCTAATTGAATTTCCATTTGAAATTTGACATAATTTGACTAAAACTATAAGCAGATATAAGCAGTAGTTTGAATATGAACCTACTTGAAGTTACATGATAATACTGAGCACTATTTCGTTTGAATCATGTGCTTTGGGACTTCTGCTGGCGTGCTGGGTAGCGAGACAGCCCGGACCATCACCGTCTGATTTCTGAAGCGCTTCGCATAGCCATGGCAAAGCGTGTTTGGCTTCCGAGCCTGCCACCTGTCGTTACAACTGGTGAAGGGTAGTTTGGTGCTTTGTTCTTATGCTATGACTGATATGTATATATATATATATATTTATCGATATCATATTTTATATACATAAACATTGTAGGTACAATATAATAGATACATTGACATCATATACGCATATATATATATATTAAATATAAATAAATATATATATATATGTGTGTGTGTGTTTGTGTGTGCACCAAGTAGCCCAAAAAAGACAACTAAAGGGTATCCAAGATTGGTCCTGTTTTTCCCCACCTGCCAGGTGAGGGTTGTTAGATTTTATCTCCTCCCTCTCCTCCAGCTTCTCCTCCACCACCTTTGCATCCACTCCCATGTTCACTTCCGCCTTGCCAACTCTTCGCCAAGCTCTTCGTCAACTTCCGCACGCAGTGGGCACCGCTGGACCTCAACCTACGACCTTCCGAGCTCAGTGAGCATCGCTGGACCCATTTTGGGACCCTCCGAGCTCAGTGAGCACGGCTGGACCTCAACCTGGGACCCTCCGAGCTCAGTGAGCACCGCTGGACCTCAACGGCCAGAAAGAATGCCAGAAGATATGCCAGATAAAGTGCCAGAATGTTTGCCAGATAGAATTCCAGAAGATATGCCCGATAGAATGCCACAAGGTATGCCAGATAGAATGTCAGATAGATTGCCAGAAGGTATGCCAGATAAAGTGCCAGAATGTTTGTCAGAACATATGCCAGAAGATTTGCCAGATAGAAAGCCAGATAGAATGTCAGAAGATATGCCAGAAGATATGCCAGATAGAGTGCCAGAAGATATGCCAGAACATATTGCAGAAGATATGCCAGGTAGAATGCCAGAAGATATGCCAGATAGAATGTCAGAAGATATGCCAGATAAAATGCCAGAAGATATGCCAGATAGAATGCCAGAAGGTATGCCAGATAGAATGTCAGATAGAATGCCAGAAGGTATGCCAGATAAAGTGCCAGAATGTTTGCCAGAACATATGCCAGAAGATTTGCCAGATAGAATGTCAGATAGAATGTCAGAAGATATGCCAGAAGATATGCCAGACAGAGTGCCAGAAGATATGCCAGAACATATTGCAGAAGATATGCCAGGTAGAATGCCAGAAGATATGCCAGACAGAATGCCAGAAGATATGCCAGAACATATGCCAGAAGATATGCCAGGTAGAATGCCAGAAGATATGCCAGATAGAATGCCAGAAGATATGTCAGATAGAATGCCAGAAGATTTGCCAGTAACAAAACGTATAGATGTCATGGTGGGGATAACTCGAAGTAAAGTAATTTGCGGGTTTGTTTTTTTTGGGCGACATGGAGTTAGAACTGGAGTTGTGGGTTGACCCAATCACCATAAAATGCATGAGCATGGAACCATAAATCGTATTTTGATGTACCGGTATATTTTGATCATATATGATTCTATCATTGTTGATTTGCCCCATCAGTTTTACATCCGTATCCCGTCGCCGAAGGCTGCTGGCCCTTTCTTTGCGTTCTCTTTGGCCTTCAGGCGAGGGGAGATGCAGCCGATCTATCTATGGCCCATGTCTTCGCTAAAAGTGGGGCACAAAAACAGTTCTGCCAAAGTTATGGATGTATATTAAATGTATGTTGATTTGCTTGCTATGTTTCTTTTAACCTTCTTTCTACTTACATGGAATTATTTGCCAAGTTGACGTTCATATCCAATCACAGGATTAGCTAGAAAATCTCCAGGAAACCAGGCCTTTCCAAGTAAGCGTCGGGTTTTCCGAGCTATGGATGTATCTACGTTATAACCCATAGTTACAATAGCCTATGAAATCACAATGTTGTTTGGTTCAATCACAATTTTTCTTGGGATTTATTGCATTTTTTCTATGGTTTTCCTATGGGTTTCCCTTCGGGCTTCAGATTTCCCAGGCTTCAGTTTCGTTGTCGCACCGCAGCACAGCCGCAGCCTGCGTGGCCGCAGCTGTGTCACGAGGGAAGCGGAAGAAGGTGCGAAGATACCTGGAGATGATTCGAAAGTAGGGGAGTAAACTTTCGAAGCATGCATGGCCAATATTTACTACAGTTATGGCCCAAAATACCAGGTATAAGTACCGAAATAACCCCATTTATAGAAGGTAAAATCCCATAGAAATAACCCGTTATAGCTAATAAATGGCCAGAACTGTGGTAAATATAGCCTCTGATCCGAGATTAGGGGAGTTTCTCGGCTCAACAAAACACCAATAATTTTCATTGGAGCTGACCCTGGAAATGGAGGGCTTATAGCTGGAAACATCTTCCAGACATGGTGGAGGTATCATGGGGACATACTGGGAGTTTCCCGACCGTATGGTGGTTTTGCATAAGAAACCCAACGGTGACAAGGGGGTTACCCTCCATTAACATGACGACCCTGCCATGAGTTGTTGGTTGGAAAATATTGGAAGGTTATATAATGATATAGTTCCCACAAATCAATTGGCTAATCTCAGGGTCGAACTGTGAATTTACTGGACGATATATATATATATATATAATTGTTTCTATTTGCTTTATGGTTTGTATGGCTTTTATATATGTCTTTTTTGGCTTATAGACATAGATTCATGGATGTATGAATGGATAGACAGATAGACAGGTAGATGAATAGATATAATGAGCTGGTTGGTGGTTTGGAACATTTTTTGATTTTCCGTATATTGGGAATAATCATCCCAAGTGACTAATATTTTTCAGAGGGGTTGAAACCACCAACCAGTGAGACATGTATGGATAGGTAAGTAGACAGATAGATTGTCCAATCATAGGACTTGAACAAAATGAATGAACATATAGTATAGAAACCAACAGTATGAGAGCTCAGGTTTCTCAAGGATTGGGGGGTGCCCGAATTCATGGTAATCAAAAGTGGGGGAACTTGATTAGATAAAGTCAGGTGGCTGCAGGTAAGCCCCAAAACTCAAATTGGAGTGATGGAGAACCTAATCAGATACCAATAGAACATTCATTGAATTACAGGGTGTCAGGATTAGAGTAAGCATTTCAATGTAGTTTCAATGAATGTAATTCTCCTATCAGGATGATCTGGTAGGTGTCATTGATAGGTCAGCATTTCCGAAATGAATTGCAAAGTTTTTTGTTCTACCCTCTGGGGTTCTTACCTGGCATCTGGAAATGATCAATTAAATTCGAGCCTCCTGAAGATAGAATTTCGATATCCAGTTTGCCACTGAAGATTGCAACTAAGTTGTCTTCTTGCGTAGGGTCAGCTATCAGACTGCTGTTGGCTTTGGATTGGTTCTCCTGCATGAGCTTGGATGTTGGGTCACCGAATAAGATTGGATGTTTATCTCAGGGCTACCCAAACTCTAGACATATCTAGACCATTTTTTCCCAACAGTTTCTCGTGGTTGTTCATGATTATTCTGTGCCAAGTCTTGGCCAGCAGAGTTGTTGGTGTGGCTGAGCGCCCTTCCGCAGCCCAAACGGTTGCACTTGCCGCCCCTTAGCCAAATATCCCATCGGAAAGGTTAGTTTGAAGAACCCTTGGAGAATCACTCCCTCCCAGAATTGGTTTAAGGGAGAACTTATAGCCAAGCACTGTGAAACCATGGTTTCCTGTAAAAAGACAACCCTTACACCAATCCATTGATGCCAGCCAAGCTATAACAATCAATCTACCCTCCGGTAATCAACCGTTGGCTGGCTGGAAAATACCCGAACTAAATGGATGTTTTAAAGGGAAAACCATCGAAGTAAATGGAGGCCTTTCCATAGGATTTATGAACCATTTGAAACCCATTGAAACCACCCCTATAAGTTTTAAACTTTGTAAACCAACTATAAGCTATATCCCCTTTAAATTATAAGTTATAAACTTTATAAACCCTATAACTTCAGATTCCCAGTTCGGAATTCTATGCATCAAGACCAAGACGTCTACAGAGGCAGCTCGGTGAAGCTCATGCTGAGCGCGGAGGAGCGTCAGGGACTGCTGGACTTGGGCTACTCCCCGGACGAGGCGTGACGACAGGTGGATGAACCAATAGGGATTAGCAAGCTATTTTGCTGTGGGCTTAGCATGATTTACCCTCTGGTTATGTCAAAATAGCTATGGAAAATGGCCATTGAAATAGTGAGTTTTCCCATTAAAAATGGTGATTTTCAATAGCTATGTTAGTTTACCAGAGGGTAACATGATTTAACCGTTTTTTTTCATCGAATAAATGACAGATAATCGTGTGCTTCAACGGTGGTTCTTATGCATTGTTTATCCACCATTCAATGGGGATTTAACCAACCAAATAGCTGATGTAATTTGGTGAAACCCATTGGATGCAATGTGAATTGGGAGAATGTGTCGATATCATTGGGGATTAAACCAACAACTAATTGATGTAACGGTGATTTCGCGTAAGCTGTCTCGATGGGTCCTGTAGTACACCTGGGCCATCAGTTTTTTGCTATCAATGGGGAGACATATGCTAACCAGAATAAGAAACAGAATGCAGGGTAGCCGAGCTTGGCCATGTGTTTGGGTGATTTTGGGCAGTGTCCCAACTATGCAGTGTCCTGTTGATGTCAGACGGAGCTGGAAGGGGATGCAGGAAGGCAAGTGCACGTGGCGTTTTGAAAGGGGGAATGCTCTACTTACTAATCATTGCGTAACATGAATGACGGCATTTATTATATACATGCAAGATGATCATCACACTTTAGGAGTTGATGGTGAATGATGATGATGGTGGTGATGATGATGATGATGACGACGACGACATGACAGTAAAGTACATGTTTCGATCGCCAGTCATCCTGTGACCAGCCTTTCGGCATTTGCGAAGCCAAAGAGTTTGATACCATCTGTGTCCCGGACAAGTCAGTGGATAATTAAGCCTTTTAGATTTCTATAGTTTTCTGATGATTTCTGAGTGTGTGCATATCCCTATCTAAATAGGGCGTCAACTAGCACAACAACTAGAGGTAACGTTACGGTTTGGTCACCCCGCAAAAGCTGTGCCTGTAATCCCCTTTGCCTATTCTTGAACACACCCTAACCGGTCTCCAATATGTATAAATCCTTTGCTCAACCATGGTTTCTGGGTGTGTCTACACTAAAGATGGAAGTTGATGATGGTGCCAGTGACACAGCGGAGCTCCTCGGCCAGGCGGCCGAGATGAGAATGGAGCTGGCGTTTCTTGGTTTAATATTTGCATATTCTATAGTTGCTTCTGGATGAGGCTTTTGATCTCAACAAACCAAGTTGTATGATGTTGTATGTACCCATTTGCAATATAGTATCTACACTCACATGTGTATATATAATATAGTAATATACACACATATAAATAAATAAATATATATATATTTACTACATGGTACTATATGTTGGTGCTTTATATTGACGGAAAACCGTGGCTCCAGCGCTTGTAAATGCCCGCAAGGTGGTGCCCCGAAACAATAGCGAAGTTGACGCAAATCACTTGGTTCACTAGGGTTTAATGAATGTTTACGGCACATATATATATATATTTACATAGATATATATATATATATAGAACTATGTTTTAAACCAACAAACATGACATTGTGGGGGGCACCGCCTTGTGTCATCCACGGGCAATCGTCGGCCGGGCGATTTTTTATTCGCTAGGCTGGTGGTGTTGGAGCGTCAAACGAGACGGCCTTGGGGGGAGCAGCCCATGCCCCAGGAGTGGCGAGACGAGGCCAGGGTTACCGGTCTAACATAGCCATGCAACATGGTCCATGAGTGAAGAAAAACAATGCCAGAAGGGACCAGAGATTTTTGATGATGTTTTTACTTGTTGAGTATTCGTGATCAAACTTGGGGGACCCAAATTTGACCCATACCCCTTTAGAATACGAATAGAACTAAGATAGCAAATGGTCAAATTACCAGGGGGTGACCAACATAACATGGGGATATAGTAATTTTATGGGGATACACGTGATATTTAACCACAATGTGATGTGCCCTGCTGAGCTAAGTTGGTCGAAATTTGTAGGTTAAGGGATTATGTAGCCAGATTGGTTCATACTTAGGTTTTGATTGGTGGTTTCAAACATGTTTTTTCCAATAATATATGGGATAATCCTTCCCATTGACTTTCATATTTTTCAAGATGGTTAAAACCATCAACCAGGGTAAAACCATTTTTCATGGGTAAATCCACTATAAATGGCAATTTTCAATAGCTATAGTTAAATTACCAGAGGGTAACTAGGGCATGGCTAGTTTGGGTTTAGCTTTGACCAACAAACATTACACATGGGGGGCACCTCACGCATCGATTTTCCATCAATCAACCACAACCATCATCAATGAACAAAAACAATTTATAACTGGTTGGTGGTTTGGATCATTGTTTATTTTCTCCAATAGTTGGGATGATGATCCAATCTGACATATATATATATATCAACCAAAGTTATATGTTATCATGTATCAATGAATTCACCATCATTTATCAATGATATATTACCGTGGTTCATCGTGTGTATAATATGTTGCTGGTTGAATACCCCTACCAGCCCATATATCTGGACACATTACGATGACTTCACATCGCAACGTCACTGGAATTATGAACCACAGAATTTTTGTAATATAAACTCTCCGAAACTATTTGAAACATCCCCAGTATGGTCAAAAAAACAACAAACATCGTATACTGCATTATATCCCCAATCACTCCCTTTTGGGCCACCTGCCTTCAGCTTAGCTGGACCTTTGGCGATGGAGAGAGAGAGAGAGAGATCCCCAATCACGGGGTCCCATATGAGCTACAGCCAAAATTTTCCGTAATTGAAAGTAGTATTCGAGACATCTTTATTTTTTGGAAATTGAGCTGCTTGGAAGAGGATAATGCATTCTTCAAAAAATTGATGCCTTGGAGCTATATACTAAATATTGACCGTGGCCCATATGGTCCCATTACTGTTATCGAGATCAGCTGATCCCAGCCGATCCCAGGCAATCCGCCAGGCGCGCTTGGCGGACCTGGAAGCGCCGCAGGCGCGGACACCGTGCGAAATCTGCTGGAAATGGAGGACGATTCAAAATAGAAGAAACCGATCATTAAATACATAATTACTGATTATATTGATTATATAACAAATATCGAAAAATATTGATAGCAGATGGATATAATTCTGATTGGTGTTTGACAATTGTGGGAATTTGTTTCGAGTCTTCAAAACTGTCCAGGACTGATTTTGGATGGGTTATACTAGGGTCAGTCAGAGAAGGTGATGCCTCTGCTCATTAGCTAAATTGGTTTAAGCATATCTAGAACCTATGTATAAGACACTTATAGTTTTTGGTGGTAGATATATCTATTTTTAATGGGTTTTCTTAACCAACAATCATCACTGAGGGGTACCACCTTGGATAAATTGATCCTATAAACCCAAGCAAATATAGATACAAAATTACAAAACCCAATAAATCCAACAGCTGTTTCAACCAGCTTAGGTAGTAAACTCCTATT